GCTGAACAGAAGTCACCCACAATATCCCTGACAATAGAGCATTTAAATAAGATATAAAAGACATTTAATCAAACAGTCCAATCAAATCTCTTTATCTACTGAATGGCATGAGCATTTTAGATTTACAAAAGCTAAGAAAATGATAACAAAAGTGACTGACTATATTTGCATTTCCCATAATTAATTACAGCTGTAAAGAAGAAAATAAAATCTCCTTTTTAAAACAATTTTAGACGTGTTTCGGGTTATATGGACATGAGTTATGTGTCTCCTTAAATAAATACAATAATAAAATAAATTTACCTTAGTGCAGATTTAACAAAAAAAAAAGGTGCAGACCTCTGGGTGACAGAAATTTTACTGTGATTCTAAAAGTCAATTTCAGCTTCGTCATTTCTTCGGCTAAGCAGCACTGAAGAAAAGCTCAGCATGTGACACTGAAACCTCCAGTAATTATTCCAAAGGTTTGGAAGCTAACAGCAGTTGCAATTACAAAACCAACAGGCAGTCTAGATACAGTATATCAGTGGATTTTCAGCTTAAGGTATCCTTACTTCCTGTTTAGAGGCAGATGAAATGAAAAAAATAAAGCATTATGCATCAGGTGGAGTGAGCGTTTTGAAATAACCTTCCAGTTCATTATGTGTACACTCACCTACACAGCATAAACACCTATTCCCTTTTACACATCTTCTCAGCACAGAACTGATTGATTAGATATTGAAATGGTCTGTCAGCATGTTTTAGAGAGGCACTCATTTGATAATGAATGAATCACCTCAGTTGGAAGCTAATTATATTAGAGATACAACTTGGTTCTGCTGTCTTGCTCTCTCGGTCTTGGCCCCACAGGGAGACAAAGTCATGCAGCAGCAACACAGCTCCACCACTCCAGCTACACACACACCAGGTCTCACAGTAAAGATTTCCATTGGCCATACCCACTTACTTTAAATTAAAAATTTGCTCTGCCATCGGCTGCCAAGACTCAGTCAGGTACACTTTCAGGCACACGGGAAAGCATAATGACAAGAAGTCATAGTGACAGGCACAAACTAAGTTACAAAGCTACCTGATCTGCAACAGCACGAGACAATTTGTCCATCCTGGAACCAGCCTCCGCAATCTTCTTAGCTGCGTTGATCACATCTGAGGAGTTCTTCAGGGGGCCTTTGCCTCTGCAACAATTCAAAAGAATGAAAAAAAGACTTGCAGAAGCAATGAGCATTCATAACGTAACATTTTCTATAATATGTAACAAAAAAAGTCTGCTTTTGTTCCTAATGATGCAGCTCAAAAGATTTGTTTTGGACAAAGTATGAGGAAGCAACATTCATTGCAAAAAAACAAAACTGTTTCAATGGCTAGGAATGCATGTTGGCATGTGCGTGATGTGTCATTTTTGCTCAATTATAAGAAAATGTTTGTTTCGTTTGCTCACGCCAGTCTGAGTAACTGGGGTCAGTGCCAAATTATAATGGTGTAGTCACAGCACCGCAGGCGCACACACTCATGACTAATAAGACCTCTGATTTGTGACTATTATGAAGTTTTTTTTATTTTATTTTGCTAAGCATTTTAATTGTGGTGTATATCACATCACAAATGGACTAAAGAGGAGACAAGAAAGTTGATGTTTACTACTAAAAATGTGCGACTGACAGCTCTCTAATACAGACCATGAATACATTTTGTCTTCTGGCTGTTAAGGTTACCTGGTGAAATCTGTCATTTCCATCATGATCATACACATCTGCTTGGCTAGCACGATGATGTCATTGCCATTATCGTCCCACTTAGCGACTTCTGCGTCCAACTTGCACTTCTCCTGTCTGAAGCTCTCCACCTGCTCAGCAATTTTTGCCTTCTCCTCCTGGGGCAACTGTGCCATGATGGCCTGCGGGCAACATAGGAAACAAAAGCATTCAGAAAAAAAGAAGCAGACTTTGAAAGTACATGAGTAGGATGGATCAAGAAGTATGAAATTAAGAAAATTTAGTTCAAATATGAAATTGCATCTGGAAAGAAGAGAAGAGTAGAAAAACAAGGAAATTGGTGAAAAAGTTGATAGAAAACCAAAACTGCAGGAATTCTATTCAGGACAATTAATTTTGTTCCTGTTTCACCTACTTTCAGAAGCTCTAAAACAACAAACTTGAACAATACATTGGGAGTCTTGCACTTTTGAAATGTTTCCCCCTAAAACATTCGAAACTTCACATTTATTGACTGGACCATTTCAAACCCCATGACAACCTATACCTTTCAAAATGCAAAATCCTTTTCTGCCTTCATTTTTTTTTCACTTATGAAAATACATTTGCTCTCCTAGCAGCCTTTGGGGGCAGGCCCAAAATGGCATAAATCTTGTGGCGAGGTCACAGGCGCAGTAAGGACCCTGTATTATTTGGAAGATAAATGTATAATTACCTTGCCTCCTAGACCAGAGAATGAATAATGCATTTGTTCAACATTATGTCAGCGAGTTGAGGTGGAATGAAAAGTAACCTGGTTTCCATTAGGTCGATTCTATTGACTTGAAAGGCGCAGAGAGAAAACGAGTACAGTAAAAAAAAAAAAAGGAAAAGTCACCATCAGTTTTTTAACCTCACCCATTATTCACTGTCCTCTAAGAACTGCAATTCTCTTAATGTTATAATAACCCTCGTCCATATCTTTTTCCTCCCTCTCTAACAGCAAAGCCGGTGTGTGGGGTGAGCTCAGTGAGACGTGCATCACGTTGCTTGTGTCCCCATGGTAGACGTGTCAGGAGGAAAATGAAAACAAAAAAATATGGATGACTTGTCCTCCTGCAACTCTTGGAAAGGAAATGAGGAAGAAAGCCAGAGGGAGGGGCGAGGCAGGGTGAAAAAGAGAAAATTGAAATTACAGACAGAAATAGAGAGGCATAGCGGCACGACGTTCTCATCAGTGGCCAAGAGATTCGTCAATGAGTTTTGGCCTACTGATCGCTCCTGTGAGTGCAGTGGTGCAATGCTTTGATGGTGGTGAGTTAAAATAGGAAAAAAAAAAACACTAACTAAATGGCATAAACAAACAAGGAAAAGCAGCGCCCCTAAAGCCCAGTGTAGATTTCCTTTGCTGCTGGTGCCAAGACACACAAACAACAGCATGGAGGCAAATCCTATTAAACAGCATGTGGGGTGAAAACCCTGCTCACATTTAAAACAAATAACAAGTTAATATGTGTTTAGACTGCACAACGAGGAGCAAAGGATTCAAGGCACAAGTGACTCTAGCAGGGCACACTTATGTTCACACTGGAGCTCTGCTTGCATGTGTTCCTTTAAAGGGGGAATATCATGTAAAATCAACTTTTTGAGTTTTTTATCATGTTATAATGTTATACTCTCATAAAAATAAAAATAAAATGCCCAAAGTCTTGCTTTGACTCATTCATGCATGTTTGAGAAATCCTGCAGCGTTTTTAGGAAGCCATGCTGAGGAGCAAAACGACAGGCGGGGACCAGAAATGCCTTTTGGGACCAGAAACGCCCCTGGGACRTGTCTTTAAGCCGRACTTCATCATTACGGAGCACACCTTCCCACACCACATACTCCGCCCATGACTCCTGCGGGCTCTCGGCAGTAACAGAGCAAAGTGAAAGTGAAACTTAAACCGTCACTACGTCTCACTCAGTGAAGCTCTTTTCAGATTTAAAATACCTTTTAGGAAATATGTTTTCAGATGCCAAGTAAACTGCATCATAGCGCGTGACCCCCCCCGCACTGAAATGGGATGAGACGGAAGCGGAAGGTGGTTCTTAAAGAGACAGAGGCCAATTTCAAGGCGTTTAGAAGAGGAAGTGATGAGAAGATAAGTTTATTTTCTATTTAAACATAAAAACAGAATTTTAATAACAGCTGAAGGTGACATAGATACTTTATTATGGTATAGTATTTAAATATATGCCTGAGAAACACATAATATTGCCCTTTTTAATTACTGTGACTTATAAGTTTTGCCACCTGTTTCCTTATTTATTTAATCTTTGACCAAATGTATAATACATGTGCCAGTCCATCTACACATTAACAACAATGCTAGAGATGAATTCTGTATTTTTTTCCCAGCATTATATTACAGCCATGAGTGACCAGTAGATGCCAGAAAGTAGCATTTGGGGTTCATTTCACATAACACACCATTTAATTTCTTTCTGCTTTCCACTATAACTTGCTTTTCATACGATATTAATGTGAAACCAACTAAAAACATTTCAACTGACTGATTTTTAGGGTTCGTCCCTTCCCAGCTTGAAGTTTTGGCTCGTCAGTAGCTCCTTGGATTACTTGGAGACCTAATTTTGGCACAACTGCTCTGTAACTGCTGCCTAATCAACACCAATAACGTCGACTGCGCTGTCACATTCAACAGAACTCTGAGAACTGAGGACTGGAAGGCAATCATTAACATATTTGGTGTTCATATCGTTCCTGCGCCCAACTGTTGAGTCATTAATTATTTACTCATTCCTATAATTGAACTGAACTGTGTACAGCTGGTGTCGAAGGGATGAGCATGCATGGTTCTGCTAAATGCCAGTGTTATGARTGAGATAACGTATATCAAGATTGGGATTCATTAAATAGTCTGTGTGGCAAATTCTTTGAGTGGAATGAGAGCATTTCCCCCCCGACATCCTTTGTACATAAAGGCAACATTAAATCAAAGCAGATGTATTTCCTGCACAAATAAAAGGAGCAAAAAGTCTCTTGAAACTCAACATTTTCGACTGAAAAAAAAAAATAGAATCCCGACTTGAAACAGGGTTCAAGGGAGGCAGTGGAGAGAAAGAAAGGGATTTGGTGAGTACACCAATTCACTCTGAAAATGGTGTGACAAAAGTGAGCGTGTCAGGGAGGAAAAGGGAGAGAAAAGGGGTTTCTGAACACAAAAGAAAGCTGCAGCACACGGGTAAACATACGAGCCAATTGGGACGTCAGGGGAGCAGGAAGGCTCTCTGTGCTGYACCCTCCCATCCACCTCCTCCACGGCTCTCTAGAATTCACTTATCCCCAAATCCCTTCCCCTTCTTTACTGATAACAACAAGGAGCGGGCCTTGGGAGCTTAACATAGTGGTAAATCCAGCCGAGGGAGAGCAGTGCCAATACACTCTGCGACTGGGCTACGTCTTCAGGGATTAGAGAGCTTTCCGGGTTTCTTCACCAAGTGCGCCGTCTTGAAATGACTTTAATTTGTTTCATTTGAAATAAACTGCCCAGACACTCAGAGTTCAATTTTATGGATGACCTATCAGCAGGGTTATCCAATCACTGTGTTTAGAACTGTTTACAGTGTGTTTGGCTGCCTGTGAATTATCCATGGCGTGTCGCACAAATAGAGTTTTTGTCTGCGTTTTACTAGAAAGATATATTCAGGCCTTCTTCTTCTACTCAATTTTCTCCTGCTTTATTTTGCCCATTTAATAATGCAGCCCGGTRTGTCAGTATAATAAATTGACAAGTGAAGCCATAGAAAAATAGAAGGCCAGGAAGCTCCCAGGACTGCCTGAACCTGTGCGGGAGAAAAAAAAATGAGAAGAGCAGTGATCTTAGGGGAATCAAACAGAGATATCATGCATGTGTCCTTTGTGTGATCTCCGCACGCTGGATGGGTTTGGAGGAATCACAAATTGTAAACCTCAGTGTGCTCGTGTCAGCTCCTGTGGAGAAAATAGATTATGCTTCCTCTTGTCTGTTTGAAGCGACAGACAGCGCCAGTGTGGACATGCCGCAGCCGTGAGAGCACAGCAAACTTCATCCTGACACAACATACAGAAGCAGATTGTGCAGATCACCACCAGTTTCCAGCATAAACATGTTTTATGAACGTGCTTGACAGCTGTGTACTTTCAAATTTTAAATGGCTGAGGGCATGACACTGTCTAGTAGTGCAAACGCAAACAACATCAAATAGTGTAAGAACATTTGTCAGTATGCCAGATTTATACAAGACATGCACACTACTTGGACTAAATGTTTGAGATTGTGTTGTGATACATTGTAATGACAATATTTTAGATTTTTGTAATAGCTATATATGAAGATCAGTTTTATGAAACAGAATGTAATGGACATTTTTGTACAAACAGAACAGCAAGATGTGCAAAAGCACTTTAATCCACTTTATATTACTGTATTACAGTTACAAGTTATGACAAAGAGACATGTTGCAACTTCAAACTGTTCCCCAATAGAGCTGCCCACTCAGAGCTTAGCAGAGTGCCAAGAAAACTAGTTAACAGTTTGTTGCTGTAAAGCTCTTTTGTGTACAAGTGTTGGTGCATCTTAGCTCAGATGGCCCTGCAATGTTACACTGCGGGAGCCTTAGTGGGAGTATAAATACAACAAACCAAAAGTACTTCACACCCAGAAAACCCCCACAGGCTTTCTGGATGAGCCCAGAACCTGAGTTTGTTCTGTTCACATCCACATTTTATATCAAACTTTAATTAGTCATTTTAATTAATTTACCAAGCAATTTGTGCTTTCCACCACAAAGTCCCAGTATAAAAAAAGGTCAAACAAAAGTTCATAATCAGTTGTAAAAATGCCTGCATAGCTCCAAAATTACCGATGGGTTCATGAAAACACAATAACTTCATATTATTGTTGTTTTTCTGCACTCTGCTTCTGTTTGTTTTTCTCATAAATAAATAATAGCATTGTGGCATATGTTRTGCATTGTTCCAAATTAGAATTTCTGATAGAAAAGAGGATGTGCCTCGTTTTTACCATGACTGTATGTATGAGCACTGTTTTAAAATAAATAAATAAAAAAAAAAAACATTGAATACATCTAACTCCAATGACCCATTCCATTTTTTATTATTAACATTAGTTCAGTTTTCTTCAATGTTTTGGTGGATTGAAACCCATTTCAGCACTGCCTTTTTGAGCTCACTTGAAAGGATTATTGCTTTTGTTTGAAAAAAACAGTGAATGTGCATAATGGTAATGTGAAACCACTTCTGYGTGTATTTCACATGACTGATCTCGTAAAGGTTTTCTGCTGTTGTGCATGGTTAGATGACGGAACAATTCTGAACTGCCTGGGCAGAGGTGTATGTGTGATGGTTTTGATTCTAGTAATGCAAGAGGAAGGACACTTAAGTGGGCGAATGAGTCAATGTTGTGTGTAGTGCTGCTCATCAGGAGTCTGCTGTCTGCTTCCTGTCATGATAAAATGAGTGTCTTGTTGCTGGGTTGCAGTCATGTGACCCGGGTGATGCCTGAATGTCAGATGGGGGGGCAGGAAGTGACTTTTTCTGGTTCAAAACAACARAGAAATGGATCACAGCGAGTACGCTAATGCCCTTAATGGGCTGGGGCAGACGAGATATCACGGAAAATATGTCTGCATTTACAGTGTGATCCATATTGTCTTCATAAAAAAATGTYATATAATCTGGAGGATTTATCCAGCGTCGAGGCGATCGACATAAACTACTGGTGCTGCAGACTTTGTATTATAGAACGAGCCAGATACAAGATTTCAAAAGCCTGGAAGCCTACAATTATTTTGTKTCAGGTTGGGTCAACCATTTAGGATCCAACGAAGCTTTAAATGGCTGTCGACTTGTGTTTTTTAGCTGTTTTTAATGTTTGATTGTTCTTAGTGTCGATTTGTTTTATAGTTTTCGACTCCTCATGTACAACRCTTTGTGTCAGCGGCCACTGTTTTAAAGCRCTTTATAAATAAAGTTGATTTGTTTGCCCGGGTGAGTAGTGAGTTGTGCTATTTTCAGTAATTAACCTATGATAAAAACGTTATTGCCAACACTAACAAGTTAAACCATTATTTCTACTGATCTACTGGTAAATACTTTAGCTTCCGTAAACYCAAATTCAAGTAATTAGGAAAATAWCTGAAAATATAATTTAAACAATGTAATCCGTACCTGTTAGAAAGTGGTCGCTGAAACTCTTGTATTGTCATTTCCACACGTTTTAACTGTAGATTGTTTATCCACTTTTGTCATCATTTTTCTCTAAGTTTTTTTTTAAATCAATTCCCATGTGACACTCTACATTGGAGATATGAAAAAAAGCTTTTATATTTCTCCCAATTAGAGTGGCTGCAACAACCGTACACAGCACATAATTTAGGCATTTTGATGCTGAATCAACAGAAAGAAACGGGGCTYACTAAACGGTGTTTACTTCCTGCCCCCCATCTTCATGACACCAATACTACGTCATCTGCAATTCAGGCAAGACAACAACCTGAACATTGTGGCAGTGRCATACTGCAGAGTGCAGGTGTTTCAAAGAAAGTTTAAAATTTTTCTAAAACCCAGCAAGATAAGAAATGGCATTAGCATCAACAGGGACATTATTTCAGTAGTTTCTGAAAAGAAGCATAATCTTCTTTTTATAAATGAAAGAATCAGATAAAAAAAAAATCCACTGCATGTTATGATTCTTGTGTTTTGGTTATTTTTGGTAGTATTTTTCAGATTGTTTTTCATTGTTTGGCATTGTCTTATTTTTTCATTTCCTGTTTTCAGTTTCCTGTGCCATG